CAATTAAACGTGCAGTTATGTTGGCAGATCTGAGGGGGCAGCTGGATCAGAAGCAACACATCTGACCACGCTCTAAATAAACATCTGTCCAAAGCCTTAGTCAAACAGATGTGGAGAAAAAAAAATTACTTATTAAGTCTTGAAGTGAAAATATAATTTACAAGAAACCGCATGTATCAAACTTTCTTCCAAGAGATGCAATCGCTAATTCATGAGATTATAATTTTCTATAGTCGTAAGTGAAGTATCTAGTAGACAATTCAGAAAACCAGGACATACTTTAAATGGATAAATCCACGCAGTTAAGTATTTTGTGTTCTGTCAGGACACTGTCAACTCCACAGGGGTTGTGAACTGCTTGCACGAACTTGAAGTGCGTGTATTCTAATCAACTCTGCAAATCGCTACTCTTAAGAATTGAAAACTTCTGGTTTCAGACTGCAAATTTACCTTTGTTTTAAAGGAAATAACACTGTAATGCTACAAAAGAATTAAGTATTTCTTGTCCTACAACTCTGACTGCTTTTCTCCAAACCCATTTCTTATGCTAGCACAATATTTTGCACAGCCACAGTAAGAACAGATGAAGGTTAATACGATGGAGCAGTGTAGAACCTGCATCCTGGGCCACTTTCCACAAGGTATCACAAATGCTGATGCTGGTAATAAGAAAGAAGGTGCAGAGGTATGAATAAGCAACCAAAAGCACAAGTCAGTCAAACGTGGCTTCATTTGGCAGCAATACTGGTATAAAATGCACATGAAACTGCCTCTTCAATCTAACTTCTGGAAAAAGATTATTTAAAATCTAGATGACATACTTAAGAGCAGAAACAGGATTTGACTCCTTTGGTTACATTATTGATGATATGCAGATATATTAAGACGGATAATAGCACGGGCTAATCAAAAAGCATTTTCTCATCCCTTTCTGATGTTCAATACTTCAGATAACTCTAATCTCCTTTGTTTGAAAAAACAAAGTATGTAATACACACAAATTGAAAAGTGCTCTTTAGAAATGCAGAAGTTCATTGCAGGCATGACTGACAAAACTGTGTTAAGACATATGTATACACTCTCACACACTGCACGACTGTTGCAGAATTGAACACTAAAAACTGGCAACTGAGCATGACCATAAAGAGCAGAGACTTTCCCAGCTAGTTTGAAAATGCACCTACATCAGTTATCCCCCAAACACTTTTTGATTTGATTTATGTTCTGCTGCTTTAAAAGAAGAAATGGGTCAATATGAAATAATGCACATACTTGTATAGTGGATATTTATACCCAAAATAAACTTTCTCTTGGGAGAATATTTTTAAAGCAGCATTTCAAGTCTCCTGGCAATGGTTAGTTAGAAAAAAGTTATTTATTTATTTAGGATAAAAGTTCTCAGAAATTTTTTAACCACCAACGTTTAGGATGCTGGGAGTAAGCTTAGTAATTCAAGTTTTTCCCTTTCCCCCAAACTACTTTTCACTGCATACAGCATTTAGTATTCATACATGCAGAGGAATGCAGAGCATGAATTAAGGCAGAGAAAATCATATTTAAAAAATGTATGGTCTATTTTACAAGAGATGGTATGTATGCACAAAGCAATTCAACTCACTACATGCTGTTGATTCTAATAAGCCTGAAAACAAAACACATTGCCTTGTCCAATTAGACTTTTCCTACTGCACCTACAGTTTTAATATCTGGCATACAAGTATCACCAATTTATGATTTGCATTTTCTCCATCGATGAAGTAAGAAACACTGAATAAATACTGTTTTCCCTCAAAATATGCAGTATTTCTGTTACAGATTGTGAAATGGAAAAACATACTTAAGAGGTTGAATATGGTCTGTGACTCCTAATTTTTTCATTAAATGTAATCATCTTTGCAATGATGCATCTGAAGCTTCATTCTGACTAACAGACTGAAGCCCACCATTTTAGATTCAACCACAGATTTTTTAAGGAAGTGGCAAACCATTGCTGCTGGTTGAGAAAATGAAAATTAGTCCCTAGGAGAGGATACAATCAATGGTGTGTTAATCTAACCTTCAGCTGTTAATGATTTGCACTACTATTTCCCCTGATGCTGTGGGTTCTGCTGAAATATTGTTTTAGCAGTTTCTGTCAGCTTTCCCTACCTTTTTTCTGCTGAAAGGGAAAGACTGAAGTGAAAGTCTTAGCAACAGATTTTGCATCAGCTTTCCTTTCTGACCCAGCTCTTTAACACCATGGAAGCAGAAGACAGAAGGATAAACTGTTCCGTCTTTTCAGTTCAAGCCTTTTAAGCCAGTCTTATTATTCACAACTCCTTTTACTTACAAAAGAGGTGTTACACTAAGCAGTCACCATTGGAATTGCAATAGTAACATGCAATTAAATAATTTAGAAAGTCTGTATTTTGCCTGTTTTTTTCACATTCAGCCAGAAAGTTAAAAACTTACAGAACTCTTTTTGGAAAGAGCTACTGAGGAGAGTGTTGTATTTTCAGCCATGAGAGCTGCATAAGTGACCTGGAAGAGACTTCTTGTGCTGGTGTAGCAGTAAGTGCGTGCACCAATCCTGCAGATCTGCCTCATCCTGCAAAGTTTGTGTCCTTCAGGATCTTTCGGTTCACTCAGTTGAAACAACCTTGCAAAACAATTCTCATCCAAAACAAAACTGCATACCCCGCAGGCCAAATTCTGCAGCAAAGTACTGAGTGCCAAAACAATAAAAGTACTCAGCACCTTTCAAAGCTGTGTTCCACTCACACACACTGGTTTTCTTAGCAAGTATTTCTTCCAGGAATAAGTGCATCTGAAACATTTTAGCACTCTTAAACTAAAGCCAAAAAGCCTCACAAAACCATTCACTTTATGTGTATCACGGTCTCTTTGTTTAACTTAATCAGTCCTGAATATTTCAGATAATTAAAAAAAAACAAACAAACAAACAAACAAACAAAAAAAAAAAAAAAAAAAAAAAAGAAACCCACAGTATTTCACTGTGAAGTGTATGACTGACTAGGAATTTTGAGTTAAGATGAAGAAGCGACGTTTGAACTATTCCAATATTAGCTGCATGAAAACTAGAGTAAGCTTTTATCAGGTTTGTGTGCGGGTGCACACAACTCTATTGATAAATATTACACTGGTAAATACAGTATAATTATTTATATTTATTTTCTTACAGCTTAAAATATAATGAAAAAATTAACATTTCTCCTTCAAGATCATGCTCACAAGCCATATGAAAAGCAACAAAATGGTTTGAACATACAATACACTACACACTAGCTGCAAAAATACCTTTACAAAGTTCTTAAATGAGTACTTCATGTTTGAAGACATTACCTTATGTTTGAATACTTATCATGCTGAAAGCTCGTGCCACTTATTTGCAGATATATGAAGAGTTTTGAGAGAGACATTATTTATCTGCCAAACTCCTTAAAGTGCTTCAGCCATGATATCTACTACTGATAACTAACATCACAAATTGTCTTTGCACCTAATTTAAAAGCCCACAGACCTTGTCAAAACTTTTCTTGATTAGAAAGTTAAAAAAAAGTAAAAACCCCATGAACATCAAATGATCAACAGATTACAAAATGGGTGATTTACACATTTCAGAAAATGTGTGCTACTTGACAGAAGGCATAATTTTTTTGTTGCTGTGCAATTTTAATGCATTTTATCAGTAACCTGGATCAAAAGAGAAGATTTCTAATAAAAATTTCTATGACAAAAACCATGTATCCTTAAGTAACAAAGAGAACATTTTATGGATTCACACTACTTCAGGACAGCCAAATGTACAATCCATGCATTTCTATGTAGCCAAATAGAAGAACACATTGCCTATGAATGAGGAATGCAAGCCACAGACTCTAAAAGAAAAATGGGGATGAAGAATGGCTCAAAGGACCTGGGATATATAAAGGGAAGAACAACAAGTAGAAATAGCGAAAAAATGACTTCATTATTTGGCACTGATGTAGCTATTTCTGAAATATGGAGTCCACTTGAGACATCAACACTAAGAAGACTGAAAAACCTGCAGAGTATTCAGAAAAAGGACTGTGGGAATAATTGAATACTTGAAAATACACCATAGAGTCAAATTCAAACAATAGACACTTTTCTTCATGTAAGGAAAGGATTATATACAATTTGATGGTAATCTGTAAATTCATACATGGAGCATAGAAATGTAATCCCATTCTAACCAAAAAGATGTAACAAAACCTATCATCTTGAAGCTCATATCAAAGGCAGACCTAAAACATAATACTCTTCAGAAGTAATTAGAGCTCCTGAAAAACACTCACAGCAATTTACATAAGGAATCTTCTGCATTCCCTTTTACTGGATATTTCTTTAATCCACAATGGATATTTCTTTAAAAAACAACTCTATTCACCATGAACTAATACAGGCAAATACTACGGCCTTTACATTGGAAGACAGATTAGATGACCACATCTGCAATAATTTTCTCAGGCATTAAAACCCACTGATTTAAAAATCAAGATTATGACTGAGTTCGAAGAACTCTGTATCACATGCATATTCACAATTCTATCAATCTGATTATAGGTACACAATTTAAATTTTTAAAGGCTAATGAAAATAATTCATTTATTTTGGTTTATTGGTCATTTTGTTTTCTTCTTTCTGAAGTTTCATGAAAGAAATCTCAGATCTTAACCTACAGTCTAACATAAAATATGATCAAGTCAGCTGAAGTCTCAGAATTAGCAAAAGGTGACAACAAATATAAAATATAGGATTAATAAAACTGGACATGGAAAATATCCTGCAAGTATCATATTTAGCCTTACAGATTAGAAAGACATTTACATGCTTTATGCAACTTCATTTTAGCAAAGTAAAATCCAGACGCCTTGTTTAATCATTTTCAGTTAGCAATAACTTCAATATATAATTCTCTTTTCTTCGTTCTTAGTGAATAAAAAACAATCTTAAGCTAATATAACAGCTATACTTACTCTGGCAGTCGAGACAGAATACCTAAAGAAAGAACATACGCCATCATTGATCCGACCTGACAGCTTACGCTTCTGAACCCAGCAGACAGCAAACTCCAGCACAATAAAAGCAACGAAGAATGGAATACTCTGAAAAACAGTTTGAAGAAAAGAAGTCACAACACAAATAGAATTAGAACCAGCTTTCCTAACAGCAGTTTATGCAGCTGGATACTTCTCAGGTTTGTTGGAAACTTACTAACTACTACTATGATAAAGCTTCACATGAACCTCATGAATCAGAACAACCAAGGCCACCATTTAGTCCATAACACTGGCATAAATCCAGTGTACTAACTTTGTCCAATACTATTACATTTTGTATCTTCTGCACACAAACTGCTAATGGCACCAAAACAAAACATGAAAGTATTTCCAAACTGGTATTTCTCACATTCAAGTAAATCTGTCAGAGCAGCAACATTTGTGGATTCCTCCAACCACAAGGCAAAATGGAATCTGCTTTCAATTTGGTATGTAACCAGGTTTTGAACGTGTTCAGCCACTGAAGTTGGCATCCAAAAATATTATCTGAAAGACACAGTAAGTGAGTTTTTTCTACTCAGCATTTTTGTAGCCATGCTTTTTGCTGCAGGTATCAACAGCTCTTCTGATTGCTTTTTCATCAGAGTAACTGATGAAACTATGTAACACTAACTATGCAGCCCATTCCAATTTGGGCCACACAACACATTCTCATAGTAATGATACATTATTCCCTTTTTTAATTTTGTAGTAATTGTAAAACAATTTTCTGCATTCCTCAAGAAAAATATAATGATGAGCAAGACTGAACCATTTCTCACCCACAATACTTCTTCAGTCTAGGATTCAATTCACGCTGTCCAACTGGCAAGTTGAAAATGTATGCTAGGAACACCCAGCAGATGAAGGTATGGTTGTGACTAGTGGTAAGACTGGTAATATTGTGACAATACCATTTTTCATCAGTGGAGAAGGATGTTACAGCTGTTATCATATTTTTATCAGCACAGGCAAGAAAAAACATGTTTTTTTACTGACCCTGAAGTCCTAACACTCCCTACACTTCATGAGTGGAAAGAATGAAGAGTAGTGGCAACATACCAGCCAGCAACACCAAAATGTAGAAGGCCAGCAGCAAGGTAAATAGGAATGATCTATTTTACATGTATCAGAACTCTGTGTAAATGAATGATTCTTCATCTGCCCCCCTCACTCTGTAGAAAACATTTAGATGACTTTGGAGACATTCACGCAACTCCTCAGCGATATTAATTAAGGCATAAAATTCCCATCATGTTTCTGCAGGACAAGAGAAATGCTAGAGCAGGGAGACTTTCTGCACCACTATAGGAGGCATCAGCTGCCAAACCTCTGCTAGACATCTTCTGCTATCTCCTTCAAATGACCTGCAAACATACAGATTTCCTGACTGAAGCCCTCCAAACTGTAGGCTTTGCATAGAGGAGAGGCTGCTCCTGCCTATACAACATTTAATGGAAGAATCATATTGCCTCTGCAAATGCCGTTGCATTTTGGAGGGTGCTCATTTGCTCATTTTTGTTGCCAAGTGAGATATCTGGGAATTCCTACAAGGCTGGGACACTAAAGAGACTAAGATGGATATAGACCAGACTGTTCAGTCAAAGAAGAATTGGATGATTCAAACCATGCAAGCAGCCAGAGATTTATAGCAACTAGGAAATGTGAAAGTTCATAAACTTCAGCAGCTCAGGGTTAGATTACAATAACAGATGAACAGAGATTAATATCAACATGGCACTTTTCAATTTAGCTGCCTAGCTTGCTTTTTAACAGCAGTTTAGGCTTCTAAAAGCCTGTGTTGGATATGTGCTAACTGATGATACAAAAACCTGTGGAAGCAAGCCTATGGATAAAGCCTAACCAGGATCCAAGGGAGGAGAAGGGGAAGGGCACACCCCACCACCATCCATTTTTAATCACTGAAACACTATTTGAAGACATAAGTACTCCTTGTTTTGCATAGCTGCTTCATTTCTGAGAAGACAAGACCTTTAATGTCTTAACTGATATAATTAAAGAACAGATTCCTAACTTATCAAAGGTAGGTGACAATAGCTGTACATTCCAGCAGAGATAAAACTAAGAAACACTTAACCACAGTATTAAGAGACAGGTCTAGCACAGACTACAGGCAGTTTGAAACTAAGGAACAGCAGAAGCTGCATAGCAAATTGAATGAGCTCAGGCCAGAACAAGCAGGATTCTTTATTCACAGAATGAAAATTGTTAATAGAAAATATACGATACCTATATTCTGTGTGGCAATTCACTTAACCTAACAACTTCTGAAATGGTTAAAATACTTGACTTTATACTGATACACACTAATATAACTTCTTTCTTATTGACTTCATTAGATACTTTCTTCCCACTGTGAAGCTGTAAGATAGCCAAGTATTTGACAGCACTTTTTGATTCACAAATAGGGAGTGTCACAACAAAGAGACAGCCTTAACCTTCTGCCCATCAGGGAGCTCGTGAAAGAAAAGATTTATGGCATACCTCCTAGTATCTAAGAAATTACTACCTCTCTCCCACATATCCACATTAAGCTTTGTCTAAAGCAGATCAAAGGGATCAACTATGTCAAGACTAGTATGTATTATTTATGTGACCATAACACCTAGTAGTTGTTGTCATGGAGTGGGATTGTACTATGTTAGATGCCACACAAACAGAAGGAAAAAGCACTCCCTGTCCCAAACAGCCTACAGTCTAAACACAAAGTGAAGGATGATGCAAATAATTCAGGAAAAAGGAGCCAGTAATACAGATATTAATCCCACTAGCCTAACAACTACTTGCTTGGGGCTTCTTTTTAAGTTAAAGTGTCAATAAAGACATTTAAGGAACCCATTAAGGATAGGTAGCTCTACAAAACTTTTCAGGGATTGCCCCTACAAATTAAATGGCAGAAATGTAAGAAATAATCACTGTTGGCATCACAGGTCAGAGACAGAAGCTGGATCCTTTTGATATTTTCTGGTCTATAACTGTTTAACTCTCTGTTCGCAGTTTCTTTCTCTTCACCCATCACCAGAAATACTTAACGGAGATTTGCATTAGCTTGCCATGTACTTGAATAACTGATCCATAACTTGAAAGTCCTACTTGGAGCACTAAGAGGTGTTCCCTTGCAGAACTCTTGCAGAATGCAAAGAACCATCTAAAATCAGTTCCTCTTTATACATTTGCAAAAAATAATATTCTAAGTTGAAACTCAGCATAAATTCATGGCTTTATTGCAAGTCTTGAAACAAGTTTCTGTTTTCTTAAAGTCCCAGGTCCTTATAACATAAGAATCTCAACTTTCATGTAAAACTAAATGCAAAGCTTCTGGGCCTCATTATTTAGAAGCAAGGCCTAAAATGTGAATTGAGTGTAAATGTGAACTTAATCTTTAAGCTCTCAAAATCACACAGTAAATAGAAAAGAAAAACAGTGATTATTAAATCTAAAGCTTTCATTTTGAGGCTCTCATCAGAAGGAACAGCGCTTTCTCCCCCTGAGGCTGACTCAGAAAGTCTTTACTGAGCTTAAGTGATAATTTCAGAATGCAGCAAGAAGCAAAGTGAAGTTGTTGTTGTTCATGAAAACTATTCAGCAAGCAAAAAGGAGCACTCCATCTGTCCTTCTGCAGACTATAAGAGTATCAAAAACCCTAGAGCATGCAGAGCATCATATGATATCTATAGCATAGAGCATGCTCATGAAAGGACAGGGCAAGCATCAATATACATTGTAAGAGTCAGAATATTCTGCCCTGGAGAAAGAAAATTGACTAACACTTTCCCTTCTGTTCCCTGAAATAAGGGAAACTTGAGGGTTTCTAATTCTATATGACAAAAGCTTGCATAAAATTAAATTCTGTGATTATGGTCTAGGGTTTGATCCCCTTTTCCCAGAATTTTGGAGATTAGTTGGATGGGTGACTTTTCCAAGGGCACTGCTGCAGTCACTGGTAGCTGACCACCTCATGTTTTAAACATGACTTGTAGCCTTCACATACGGTTCTGCCAACATAGAGAGCTTGACGCAGGAACCAGGAACTGTCACGCATCCTCTGAAAATGGAAGTAATATAACCACAGCCAGAAAGTAGACCACACAAGTTAAGCAAACTAAATTATTCTGTTCTGAAAATCAGAGCTGCTTCACTCACTGCTGCTACTTGCTGCACAACTGACTAGCTCAAAGGAGCTACTTCTACAAAGTGCATATATTTTGCAAATCACCAAAGTGCTCAATTTTGCAGATCGCTAAAAACATGAATATTTGAGTGAATTATGAGGTTCTGACTCCTGCCTAATGTTGGAAGGTGAGTATCACCACAGCTGTAGCCATGTGATCTAATGTACTAGAAATGCCCTCATCCACTTAATACATGATGCAGAGCTGAGATCTAAACCCCACTTCTATATAGTGTCTCAGAGAAAAAAAAAAAAAATGTTTAGGAGACACAAATGTTATCAGTAGTTTGTTTCACACCCCCATCACAGTTACTGCCTTTTAGAGTGAACTATTTGAGCCGAGGCCTTCATTTATTACCAGCTCTGCACTAGGAATTTTTTGTTCTGCATTGGGCTGAATGCAGACATCCACCTCTGTATTTGTAGCAACTCAAGGGGTTATCACTCCAAGCCCCCCGTGAATGGCTCATCACTAGCCATTTCACTATGAAACTAGCCCTGCTGAATCCAATGGATCTGCTGTTCTTGCAATTGTTCCCTGAACAGTCTAAGAGAAGCTGCAAGACCAGTAGGTCAAATAAACAAGTGACAAGCAGCTGGAGAGGGACTGTAGATAGTTGCCTTCTCCCCAGAGACACATGGCTAGAAGAAGAGGTGTGAACACTGCCTATGCTCAGAGCAAAGCCGTACAGTTAAGACAGTTACACCATTTAAAAGACTTTTACAGACCCACCTAACCAAGCAGCAAAATGTCTGTTCCAGCAACAAATGCACTGCGGCGCGTGGGGGGGGGGTGGATTTCTAGTACAACTAACTCAAGCAATTAAAGTATAGCCATAATAGCAAAAGCTTTTTTAGTGTAGATTTTTTGCAAGGTATATATTCACTTACAAACTTGCCACAATGGTGCTCTACAACAGCAGAAGCATGGAGGCACTTTTATAATTCAAAGAAGTATTAAGAATACTTACTCAAACTTTTACAGCTTTGTGTCCGGGCAAAGAAACTGCAAGTTTGGCCAAGATCTGAGCTGAATATTTGCACAGGTCTACATAGGAGAAGAAAACCCAGAGATGTTAAGGAATGCTGCAGGCAAGAAAGTGAATGATACTTGGTTGGAAATACAGAAACAGTAAAAGGTATTGAGATGGGCAATAGAGCTAGAGGGCTGCTGACTGGGCAAACCTTTTATGCTCTAGACACTGTTTTTCAATCAAGACACTTATAGCTTAGCTGAAAAATGCCTCTGAGGAAAACAGCTTGCCTATCAGACACTGCACACACAGGATGGGTTTGTGGCATCTGCCTGCTCACCTGATCCAGAAGGGTGATGTTTGCTGACAACAGGCATCAGAGGGGGGCTGCTGCACACTACAATTCCCAGAAAGCTGCTGCTGGTGCTGCAGGGCTCTACGCAACCCATGACGCCCCCCATGGCAACCCCAACAGCAGCTGCAGGCCAAGGTTTACCTGACAGAGGAGCTAACCAGAGCTACCAGGACCTGTGCAGGAAGTGTGGACCTTCAGTGAAGTTGGGCTGAACTTACTTTGACAAGGACATAATAGTGTTTACATGCTGACTCTATGAAAAGCTCCAGGACACTGGTCCTGGTTTAGCAGGAACTGGGCAACAAGGTTTCTGCAATAGGTAGGACATAAGGCAGCAAAGGTACTTCCATGGAAGTGGATAAACTGGCAAGGCAGGAGGGGAGGGAGGGATATGCTGCTGCCTGCTGACAAAGGAGTTCTCACCCCTGACCTCTGTACTCTTGCCTTGGAGCTTTAGGACCCAGCACTGTCCCAACACAAATATTTGTTCTCAATTCTCTTAAACAACCTTTATTTTTTACTTTAAGCAGAATTTTTTATTTTTCTTTCTTTTGCTGAGCTTGTAGCACTCGCCTTAAGCACACAAAGAGACCTGACTTTTTGCTTGCTTTAAGAACCATAATAGCCAAACACTGCATGGGGTTTTCTGGTTCACTCAGCTCAGTGTTCTGTCACTGTATCCAGCAGCACTGGCAATCTGAACAGTATTAGCATCAACTCTCAGATATTTGGGGTGTTCTTCTGGAAACTTTAGCTTCCGGTATTAGGAGAAGGCATCTGAGCCTTCACTTGAAATACATTAAAATAGAGTGCAGGGTTATACAGTTTACACAGGGAGCTTGCAGGCAGAGAGCCCAGGAGCGGAAGCAAAGACAAGGTGCTTTAATTTAGGTGCCGTCTCTCGGACGTTGTTTTTTGGGCTGCCTGCGGTACCCGCAAGGGCAGGCGGCAGCCGCGCAGGGTGCGCGCAAGGTACGGCGGGGGATGCTGCCGGGAGGAGGGGGGAAGCGGAGCGGCGGTGGCTCTCACCTTCTCCACGTAGTCGGGCACCTCCTCCACCGTGCGGAAGGAGCTCTCACCGGGCGGCAGCACGTAAAGAGGGCGCGGAGCTGCTGCCCCGGCGTGGTGACCTGCGGGCCGCCCGCCTCGCTCCCCATGGGCCGGCTGCGCTGCGCTACGCGCCGCCGCAGGTGCGCACAGCGGGGACCGCCCCCTGCCCAGCACCGCGACGGCGCCCGGCCGCGGAGCAGCGACTGGGGCTCTAGAGCGGTCCGACTGCGTGTACCCACAACACCGGGGGACTTGAGGTTGCTTCGGGAAGAGCCGCACATTTCTTTCTTCTCTTTCGCTCGTGCTACTTGGGAGGTTTTCTTGGGGTTTTGAGGGGGGGTTTGTGTGGTTTTTGTTTTGGGGGGTGGGGGTGTTGCTTTGTTGGTGGGGTTTTTGGTGGTTGGTTGCTTGGGGGAAGAGGAGGAAGGTTATGTGTCATCATGTACATGGCCCACTCCTGGGAGTCACAGAATCACGAAAATCCCAGAACGGTTTGGGTTGGAAGGAATCTTAAAGCTTATCTACTTCCAACCCCCTTCCGTGGGCAGGGACACCTTCCAGGAGACCAGGTTCACCTGGCCTTGACAGGCACAGCTTCTCTGGGCAACCCATGCCAGCGTCTCACCACCCAAGTAAAGAATTTCTTCCTTTTATCTAATCTAAATCTCCTGTCTGACAGTTTAAAACCAAGTCCTCTTGTCCTATCACTGCATGCCCTTGTATAAAGTCTGTTCTCCAGCTTTCTTGTAGGCCCCCTTTAGGTACTGGAAGGTTGCTGTAAAGTGTCCCTGGAGCCTTCTCTTCCCCAAGCTGAATAGCCAACTCAAGTAAAGAGAGCCCTCACACACCTAGCCACTGCATGTCCCAGTTCCCTTCTCCCCCTCAAAGAAAAATAACCTCTAAACAGCACAGCTCAAGCTGTCCTTTTCCACTTTTAGATATGTTTCCACTTGTAGGTGTGTTTCCACATGCAAAAATATTGTTCAGGTTTTGACTTCTGAATAAAAAAGCAAAATTGTATAAAATTAAAATGTTAAGGCCGTTGAGAAACAACTAGAGATGTGGTTTTTTGCTCCCATGTTCAGCTGTATGGGTCAGTTGAGCACTGCCCAACTGTGGGTTTTAAACTTTCAGAAGAGCTTATCACAGCTCAATTCTCCAATTAGCATGACTATACTAGAGGTCGACTCCAGAAGCTTTTTAATGCTTTCATTTATAAAGAAATGAAAATTAGGGGAATGCAAAGAAACAGTGAAAACAAGTGTATGCGAGATCCATGTAGGAAAGTACTTTTAGAAAAGGGAATAACGACAGGCTTCGTACATTCAGGCCCCAAGTCTGAAGCTCAGGAGCATGCATTTTGCTGTCAAATGTTTCTGAACCACACTTGATATGTTTGGTGTTAGTACAAATAATAAGCTTTGTGATAAAATAGATTAGCCAGAAATAAAATAACACAGTGTCGCAACAGCCCCTTCATATCAGATGTTCAGTTCCAGTTACGGTCTTTCCAGAAGAAATGGACTGTAAATCCTGCTGTAAAGGATTTTGCCACAATTTAAATCCTGCCAGTCATTAAAGAAAGCTTTCTACTTTGAATCAACCCTTAGTTTTGGGACTGTAGCAGGTAACTTCAGATGAAGTTTTTGTTTAGAAAAAGAATAGAAGCATAGAGAAATTGACATTAAGATAATTGAAGTAATGCACATTCATGATGTTTGTATTAAATGTTGCCATTTAAACAATATTCTGCATATTGATTTGTTACATTAATTAATAATGTAACAATTCTGTAGTGCATGAATGTCAGAAAATAGCAGGAAGTGCCAATTAAAATATTTTACATTAAGTTGAACAAAGCCTAAGTGTTTTCAAATGGCATTAACGGTGAAATAGATTTAGGCACTCTTAATATGTATAGCTTACACTAGTACTTGATAAGTAAAAAAATAATAAACTTATTAAAATGCTTTAAAATTACATCCTAGTGTTCTCAGCTTCAATGGCGATTTATGGAAATTTGAGAATTCTCATAGAAATCTAGTTATTAACTTCTAAAGTCTGAATTCACCGAAATGAAGACATGAAATTTACTCAGACCCACACAAATCAACAGCCTTCTGACTAGATCTTCATTGTAGGCAAAGACATTTGGTAGAAAGGGTTTGCTTTTTCATTTAGATTAGCCTAAGTAGTTCCATGGCATAAGTCCTTGAACTCGCCCTAACCCCAGCCACACCATCCCAGCAGGCAGCCCCGAGCCCTCTGTTGCTGCGGTGCTGGTGGTCATCTTGTTCCACTGTCAGCTCCCACATTATCAGTGAACAGTATCTACCTGGAAGGAGAACGATGATTAGCAGGGCAAGGGAGCCCATAGTCACACAAGGCGAGATAGATTTCGGGTACCATAGAACCACTACCTCGTATCACACCATTCAGCAAAAGAAGAGAATCCATCAGGCTTTGGGGACTTTATACTTCTGTAAAAATTATTATTTTAAACCTCCATTTCAGTGTAAATTATCACCCAAGTATCACTGTACTGAAATTCTTGTTTTGAAAACTCAAGGAAAGAATTTGAACTTGATTATGCCTCACAGGGGAAACAGATGGGTTGTGTTTTCCAGCTTCTGAGTCCAATGAAAAATAGATTATAGCAGTACAATAGCTACACTTCTGGTGAGAACAATGATTTTAATCCTATCTGGAGCATCTATGACTTTTAGACAAGCTTCAGTATAATCTGTCTACAAACGTAGCTGCTGTTTTCTATTTAAGCCTTGAAACTTAACATGCAGTTTCCAGTGCTTGCCCTTTCTTTTGTTAAGAGAGGAACAGAAAAGCATCCAGGAATGTTGCTTTAGTGGAAGCACTACCTCTCTACCAGGCAATGATCTCTCCATTCTGTGACTTTTTTTTCAGGAGTTGATTTTTATTCCAGTTATTTTCTGCAAAGAGTTAAATTGCCTACTTTTTTTTTTTTAATTTACAATTAAAAAAATACAAAAATATAGAAAAGTAGATGTTTCTCATCCTATACTGCCATCAAAAATGCAGAAGGATGTTCTGTCTGGAAACTAGGATTCTGCTGTTGATTAGTAGATCGTTCCAGTAACTAGGGCAACAAAAGCCTCTGTTCTACTTAGAGGAAATTGAGGAGCTGGCCTAACATGATCTGTAGGTGGATCATATTTTGTTTTCTCTAAAGAACTCCATCCCACCCACTTCATGAACAGAGAACGCCCAGACGCTTCCTGTTTGGGTCTCTCAGAGCACTAAACCAGCACTAAATAACAAACTCATAAAGGGAATTAGGGCAGGTTGAAATTGGAATGGGCGATATAGTCTGCCTTGGCAATCATTCCCAGCAAAGTGAATCATATCCAGAACCGAGCTGGGCTTAGTATGCTTTATTTGCATAGTACTATTTTTGAATATAGAAAAACTTTAAATGAGTACATTTTGATGAGCTTCTATATTCATGCTTGGCAATGGATGTCATTAGGGGAGCACTAAATGCATCAGTGTTATTATAAAACTGGTATTATATTTTGAACATGGTCTTTGCCAGTGGTAAACCCTACATTTTACAGTATCTTTAAAAAAAAACAACCAACTGCTTGTTTATTTGTTCATATTATATAAGCTATATGTATTAATACCAATTCTTAACAGCATAATATTGACTCCAGAAACCTGACGACAGGGATGTTCTGCATGTTAATCAACATCATGCCATGCATTTAGCTACTTTGCTAACTTTCCATTATTTCTATTAGTAGGACTGCTAGCTACAGAACGGTGCTCATATACAATCATGCAGAATTATTCAATTCAGTGCAACCAGTAAGCAAAGTCAATTTATTCAAGGGTTGCCAAGATGTCTATAGAGAGTAACACACCCTTCAGGCAGTCTGCTTGATAAACATCCTGTGATAAATGTACATACTAGTCTTAGAACTTTATCCTCTACATTTATTTGTTACTTGTATTTCTTCTTGATCTTATAGCAGGTTGTTTTTATTCTTTTATTTTTTAAAACACAGTCATATGTCTGATAGTTATGTCTGCTTTCTGTTACGGAGAAAATATACATTTCTAAAAGTTATTATTTAAATTCCCTTTTTTTCCTTATTCTCTCCCCTAGTGCATTGACCACAGGAATTATTTTCACCCTAGACTCTAGTACCCTACTTAGCTGAGCCAAACGTTGACTTTCTGCTGGAAAGTGGATGAATAGCACTGTTCTCTCTCCCTTTTCTGACAGGCTTCTTCTACCTTTCAGCTTGGCCTGGCACAGAGACTGACAGGATTCCTCCATGAGTTTGTTTACTTAACAAACTCACATAGCAAGAAATTAAGCCAGAAGAGGAATAATTTTGCAATTTCCTAGTGCACTGGTGAGCTAAGTGGCTCATGAGAGGGTCCAGGGGGTGCAAGAGCTGGCATGAAAGTCCAGGAGAAAAAAGGGCAGATCCCAGAGCTACAAACGACAGATGAGAAAATGAGATAGAAACAGGACCTCATTTCAGCAGCAGCAAGTTATTAGATAACTGAGCAGCTCATGGAGTCACAGCCTCCTATGCAATTGCCAAAAATATGGCTTCAGCAGGCTATCGTATGTCAGCATGCAACTACATCCAAACAGTTGATGGTTCCTTGACATCAGCACTTCAGTAGCTGCCTTTTTCAGAGTTATCCTTTTTTCTGTAAAGCTTATGCCTAGCAGGATGGAGTCTTTTATTTGCCTATTCACATAACTACATGTGTTATATACTGCATTTTATGCATGGGGTTTGTCTGGACAGGAAAGTTCCCTGGTCTTCCATGTTCTAGATGCCACACATGGATGGGGTCATGGGGCATCTTCTGGAAGGAGGGTACATAAGGGACAATCAGGCTACGAGGAAGACAGGAAGGGATAGTTCAAGAGGTATAGCAGATGAAAGGTACAGCATGAGATGAGGAGGCAGGGGCCTGATCAGGAAGAGTACAACAGTGGCTTAGAGCTGCAGGAGGGAGGTTCTTCTGGGGACCAGAGGAGGTTTGCCAAGGTTGCTGCAAAGCTGAGACATAGGTCTTTAGGTAATGGCTCACCCTGTTAGGC